AGAAACTTACATCTCAGCAACTTTTGCATTTCGTCACATCTCCTCGTGCCTTCATGACGAGGCAGTGATACTGATGAGATTATTAATTTGCACATTCACCCACTGGGAAGTTTTTTGCAGCTTTTCTTTCTGCTTCTGCTGCAGCAGCTACGTTGCTTTTAGCCGTATTATACTTAAATTCCTCTGAATCTTTGCGTGGGAACAAAACAGCATGTTGGAACATCCAGTGAAGCAAAATAAGCCTCAAATGTTGAGTGTCAACACGATGACAACATGTAGCTTTGCACATATAATGACAATATATAGAGCTCGATGTAAGTTTCTGTGCTCCTACAAATGTGTCCACGCACCCGTTTTGACAAAAAAAGCAAAAAATTCTACTCTGCTGATGTTAGAGGCCTCAAAAGTTGGTGAAATGTCGAGTCGAGTTCATTTGGTCAATCATTTGGATCTGCTGGAGACTGTTCTGTCTGTGTTCTCACCACATTTCATGGCTGCGGGAGTTTTATTTCTGCAGATATTGAACCGTTAAATCGCCTTCACGGAGAAGATGTGGTTTTTTTAAGGGGAAAATACAAATATTTCCAGGTCTGAAACCATATAAAAGTCTCAAAATTCAGCCAAAACATTCTTACAGAACTTAGTTTCGGGTTTCAAAACAACGAAAAGATAAACTCTGAACAAAATCAGAGATGATGCAGCAACATAAATTCTGATTTCAGTGTGAAATCACATTGATTGTCCCACGACTGTCATAATTTTATTTGTATTATTATGATACAAAACAGCTCCAGGTAAGTAGCAGGAAGCCACACTGGACAAAAAAAACGCTAAAGACGTTTGTATAAAAAATAATTATGCAAATATTCCTCTTAACAGTTTCAAGCATGTTTTTTTCCAACGCGTAATCTTGTATTAATGATGTTAAACACTCTAATTTTTCCCTCCCTGCCAAAGTTCTATCACTTCAGCTCCATCTCTGATTTATCAGAAACTCGCCATCAGATATTACAACATGTACGATTTAAAATATTTATGAATAAAGGACTGAAAACTTTCTGCTGCCTCCAGGCGACGACACCCAGCAGAAGGCTCAGTTAGCGATCACAGCGAGGAAAAGCGACGATTTGAGAGGAAAACCCAAATGTTTGTGCCTTGTTGTTCACTGGTAAAATGCAGATCAGTGTTTTCCATCTTCGCAGAGACAGTAGGAGGTAAGAGAGAGCGAGAAAGAGGCGGTGGAGCGAGGATGATGATGGGAGATGAAGGCCCGGGCGGCTCTATTGATTATTTAGCCGTGTGCTTGTGCCCACGTGTTAGCGATACAGTAGAGAAGCCCACACAGGATTTAGAGAAGAGAGAGGAGAAGAAGAAGAGTGAGGACCTGTGCATCAAACGCAGATGAGCTCATGTGCAGGAACACATGCAGCCGACACATGTGTGACTTCATCTGCAAAGTAAACCAAAGGACGGGCTGCGTTTTGTTTTATCTCTCCTCCTCCTCTTCTTCTTCTCCCAGCTCTACATCTGGTTTGTGTTTGGAGGGACTTTCTCTTTCTGTCTTATCACACTGTACGTGCACACACACACACACACACACAATCGCACAATCGCACAATCGCACACTGCTGCCTGCCGACAGCCTCATAAACCCGTGTTCGCCGTCAGCTTGCTTTATTCATTTGCTCACTCTTGAGCTGTCGTGCAAACAAAGAGGAAAAAAAAAAAGTTTGCAGAGTCGAACAGGTTGGCAGCCACAGTGCAGATCTCCCATGGTGCATCTGTGCTGCATGGGAACTGTGTCGACTGGAGGTTTATGTGACACTGATGCCACCAAATGCAGAGCTCCGCTACAGTACGTGGGGCGAATCAACTTTAAACATCAAAAACACTGCAGCACGAGGACAACAGGGCTGCATTCATGGAATATTGTCATTGTTCATTTAGTTTTCTCGATTAATTGATGAGTTGTTGGGTCATAAAACTAAAAATGGCTGCATTGTTTTGTCCACAACCCAAAGACATTCAGTTTACCGTCACAGAGGAGGAACATATTCACATTTAAAACGCTACAATCTGAGATTTTTCTTCATTTTTTTCCTTAAAAAAATGACTCAAACTGCTCATTCAAGTATCAGAGTATGTGGTGATTAATGGAACCGCTGACAACTAATCCGTTAATCGCTGCAGCTCTACTCGACGCTGCTGTGAAATCGATGGACTCGGGGTCGGCACTGACTCGTACTGTTGATTATTGACTGTTATTGTGAAGCTTCTGGGTTCTTGTGAGTTTGAAACCAGCCAAGCTGCTGCCAGCAAGACCACAGGAGGCTTTCTCAGACATAAAAATAAAGAACATCAGCTCATTAATGACACTTAATAATTTGGAAGGATGGGAAGCGCCACAAGACACAAGCAGGTTCATATCACGTAACCTCGCTCTCTGGAAAATGTCTACACCTGTGTTGTCATACATGTGATCTAAAACAAACCGTCTTTACAGTCAAACCTGTTGCTTCCCATCGTTGTGCAGATGTGGCTGCACCTTCTCTGGCATTACTTTCCAAACCGTCGCACTGCATCTAACAAAGTGAGACAGCATGTACCCGGGGACGCTGATTTTTCTCCCAGACGTGAAACCAACACTCAGAATAACGGAACGAGATGATTCAGTGGAAAAAAAAGAGCCTTGAAAACTCATTCTGATGATCAGGAAACGCTTGTAAACGTTTGAGAAAATGAAAGAAAGACTGCTGGTGTGCAGCAGCACCTAAATAGCAACTATTCTCAGCCCTCAAGGTCGCCTTTACCTACAGCTTCTATGAGCAGAAAGCGCTTCCAAGTCAGTTTCTCAGCCGCAAAAGCTCCTGCTTAGTCACAATCCCGCCTCGCTGATCAGTCGGGCAGAACAAAAACAGCTTATTTATGCAAAGAGTTTGTCTTAAAACACAAAATATGAAGTTTTAAACTGGTTTCATAACACAGTCTGTCTGAAAAGCTTAACTCCATCTTCCAAAACAATACGACGCCCGAAGCTTAAAGATCATTTAAATGCATATTTTACAAAAAGTTCAGCTCCTTTATCAACTTCCTTCCTAAAATTACACTGACTCTGCATTTCTCACTGAAATATCTATAATCTATGAATCTGTTGGTTTTGAGGATGTCTTCTACTTCCACTCGGAGGCCTCGTGCTTCCACAGCAAGAAAAACTACAAAAACAGCATCTGCACATGTATTCAAACATCCAAATGAAGGTAGTATGATCACATTTATGAGCAAAGCGGTGACTAGAAACTCAGCCTGGATGACCTACGACTCACTTTAATTCTACAACAAAAGTGCATGAAGGCAGGAGTTCACAGAGACCAGGAGGGGAGGGGGACCAAGTGACAGGTACAGTGACAAAACTCCAAAACACGCATGACATCTCTGCGTTTCCACGGTGTTCACATTCCACTCTCCACACCCACACCGTGCTGCCTTCAGGAGCATCCCGTAAACCTGCACATCCAAGAGCCACACTCACACAAAGTCAGCTGGTCAGAAACAGCACAGGAGCTTCTACGTCCCAGACACAGCATCCATCACGCTGACACGAGCTTCACCTCTTTTAACTTCACTTTATGCTGATTAAAAGTCCCAGTTTTTCAGGTTGTAGAAGGAACTCTTTACAAATCCTGCAGCAGCTGAACGCAGGACGCCTCACTGCCAGCTGACAATAACAAACCCTCCAATAATAAACCTCTCACTTACTCACACTCTAAACAAGCAGCAGCACTGAGCTCGGTGACCTCTCACTGCCTGCAGCCAGTCCTGAAGTCAACTCTCCAACAAAACCCCAAATCCATCCACAAACCCACGAGTCTGAGCTGATTCCACAAAGTTTGACACGACTCATGTCACTCACACGCGACTCAAAAGCTGCTTAAACTCTCCACCTGCAGCTACAAGCTGTGCAAAGTGACTCCAGGTGTGTTTTTTGTTGTTCTGGAGCTGAACTAGAATTTGCTCTTACTTCTCGGTGGAGGTTTGCTGATGAGCTCTGCGACGTGCCTCTGCAGTCGGAACACTCTGCCCTCCAGCGCGCCGGACCGGTGGCAGATGGACACCAGCTCTCCCTCCAGCTCCTCCAGGATGCTCACCGAGTGCCGGGACAGATCCGAGAGCTGTCGCAGCACCGAGCACAGGGAGAAGCCGCACACGTCCGCCAAGTCCCCGAAAACCTCCGCCTGCTGCCGGGGACGCGCCTCCCGCAGCCTCCTGCCGTCGGGCTTGCACACATCTTTCGGAAGTATCGTGCGTTTACAAAAAGGCATGATTTCTCCCCCAGCAAAAAAACACCAAACTCCGCAGATAGTCAAGTTATATTCCTGTGGTCCTTCTCCCTGCGGGTGGCGCACAGACACATGCTACGGCTCCTCCAGGGGGGAAACTCCGCTGCTGTTGGAGAGGCTTGGAGCGAGTTGCGCGTCGTGCGCCCTCATTGTTTTTGACTGCGAGCGAGATTTTCTTTTTTTTTTTTTTTTTTTTCGGTGGAGAGGAGAGACTCAGCTGCTCTGCTGATTGTTGTCAAAGCAACAGAGTGAAGCGCACAAGGCTTCCAGTGGAGGCTTCAAAATCAAAGCCCCAATTTAGGTTTGAGCCAAACCCTGGAGTTGTTGGTGAATCCACTTCCCTCTGAACTTTTCAGCCACATAAAACTCAAGTTAAAACTCTTGTCAGCGTAGCAGTAAATGCGATCAGGCCTGTAATAAAACAACGTATTGTATGGATTAATCTTTTGAAGTGTTATGTAATATTACTAATTATATCTGACTAATGATTTTTCTGACAAACTTCTGGAAACACAAGTAAACCTGTCACTCTAATTGCGTTTGCTTTCTACTGCACTTCACTAATCATCTGGTGCTTTTCTTGCAGCTCTTTCTCTCCTTCTATCTTTGTCCGCCTACACAGGCTTTGATTTTGAAGACGTGCAGCCCAGCCTCACATCTCACTCTGTGCGGCTTGACGCGGCGACACAGGGCGCAACAGTCTGCTGCTTCCCGAGGTTAGACCTGAGGAGGAAGAGGAGGAGAGGCGCGACGAGGAGAAGGAGGTGAAGAGGAGGGACACTGCAAAGCAGGAGACGGAGGAGGACGCGAGGATGGATCATCTCCTTCACGCACCACCGCGCGTAACTGTGCGCACCCACGTGTGCATGTGCGGGTGGATGGAAGGTGAAGTCGGTGAGTGGGCGCTGCTGTCCACAAACTTTTGGGTGCTTCTGAAGCGGGGCAGTTTGGCAGCTTGTGCTTCATCACGACTTGGTTCCTGTGCTCAAACCCAGGTGTGGCGTGGAGGCCCGAGCAGATCCCTGACCTCAGCCACATGCAGCCCCTCTGAGACTGCAGCCAGCCAACATCTATGTGGGACTGATGCAGCCAGAAAATCCCTGCAGCCATGAGTCAACATCTGGAGGAAAGGCTTAGTGTCTGTCAGGATAATGCAGTCCAGTTCGACGGCTCCACAAAAATGCATCCTCTGAAATAAAGTTGAAACAAAACTCCTCTTGAACTGATCAAACATTACAACAAGTTTTTTGCAAGATCGCTGCGTCAGTTTGAGCTTTTTCGATGTTTCAGTGTCGCATTCTTTCCTAAATGCACTTCTTGTTTAACTGATTTGTGTTTGATCTTGTGTCCAAGTCGTGGTCTTTCATATTGAGCCACATACTGGCTTTAATGCACATACGTCATAATAAGAAAACAAAGGCTCAACAACACGTCTGTAGAGGGTGATTACGAACAACCGAGTCTGGGAACGAGGACGAGAAGAAGCAGCAAGACCCAAAGACTCCCAAAGCAGAAAATAAATGAACCGAGTCCACATGGAGGACTCGTCTCTGACCAGATCCTTCTCTCTCCGTGAACTGAACACTAATGCAGACGTCCAGTCCGGGCACACATTTCCAGATGGGGAGAGCAGAGCACATTACACACTTGTGAGGTCATTTTATCAGAGCCTGGAGGTCATTACAGCAACAATTTACTTCATTAATTCATTGTTAAAGTCGCACTGCTGCTCAGATGTGTTCCGTTTGATATCTTTGCAAACTGAATATCTTCTGTGAAGCGTCGACTTTCAAAATAACCGTCTGACGCGGCGGGAAGCTCGTCTGTAAACCGCATCAGAGGATGACGGTGTGACGCAGCTGAAAGCTCGGGAGCGTTTCAGGGGAGCTTGAGTCGGGTTTGTTTCTGATGTTGATGGAAACTCTCGTGGACTTCTTACGGTTTTCTATCAGTACTGCCAGAGCAGCTCTGTTACGGAGCCACATGTGGAAGATTTACAGGAAATACAAGAACATTTAATTCACTTTTCATCACTGAAAAACTCTGTAGGTGTGTTTACGTATAAAAACATCATGTGAGTGCTTTAATTTAGTCATTTCTGAATAACATTACACTGTTCAACCTCAAATAAGTTAAACTGAACCTAAACCAACCAACACATGCTTCTAAAATCAACAAATATCGATTGAGTGGGAGTTTGTTTTAATAATGTCGATGCAGTGAAACACGGCGGGTCAAGGCCTCTCAGGTCAGATCAGGACAGTTTTATTTGAGGCTAACAGACGGCGTCTCTTCGTAGTTACACATATATACGGTGTTTGCATTCTTCTTAATCTGAATCTAGTGTGCTGCATGCTGTGCAGATTGAAGCTGATCTGATTTGCTGGTGGTTCTATTTCCCCGAAAACAGACCACAGATTAGCAAAAAATGCTGTCGGGGGGGAAAACTTGTGCTTAACGTTGAATCTATTTGTAAAATGTTAATAGAAAAAGTGGTTGGAATCGTTTTATTGGTAGAAATGAAGCGGGTAAAGCTGAGGAGGGTTGAGCTGGGTTGTGGACTGGCGTTGTGGACCCGACCGGCTACCAGAATCAGTTGCACACTCTCATCTTCAAGCTCTACTCAGTACACATGCAGGAGCTTTCCTGCAAACAGGAACCTTCAAAGAGGTTTTATGCAGCACTAATGAGAATAAATAACTACTTCAGAATTATTTAGAACTGACCAAACACACATACATAGCTTTATGATTCAGTTTGGTTCATTGGGTTTCATTCACTCAGTTCTTGTTCATGAAATGGTCAAAAGTTACGATGAAATGTGTAGATTTCAGTCAAACAAGGTCTCACAGACTCACGGCTGTTAATGTACCAATCATGCTCCCTAAAAACATGAAAGCAGTGTGATGAAGGATTTGGGGAAGATTAACAGAGAGGATAAATACCTTCACAAAGTGCAGAACTGTGATGGATGAATCCTGAACCAAGCGACGGCTTCCTGTGTGGAGGAGAGAGACAGCGTGACAGGAGGCCGACCAGACGATCAGCGTCGTCCAGATAAAAACATAAACTGTAAACTTACAAAGTCAGAAGGATGACGAGGTGAAGTCCTTGGATGAATCCTTAAAAGACATGTGAGGGCTTCCTGTGTGAGAGAGAGTCGATACGATAAATGATTGATCAGACGAGATCAAAGTAGCGCCGATGTGAAGTCTGAAAGGATGCAGGTGAACTTCCTCCTGGAGGCCTCACATAACGACACAAGCAGGGACAGAATCACGGCACAAAAAGCTGCAGTGGCATCAAAAGCAGGGTGGCATGAATAATGAAAACACAAAAATGGTCGTGAAGGAGACGTGTTCGTCCTGTAGGCTCATAAATAAAAGACCAGAGCAGCTGACTCACTGTTAATGCTGATGAAAGCTGCGTCTGTTATCAATCAAACTTTATTTATAAAGCACAAGCCTTTGCCCTAAACATAAAGAGTGAAGAACAGAACATCCATCCATTATCTACACACTGCTTAGTCCTCACTGGGGTCATGGGGGGCTGGAGTCTATCTCAGCTGACTCAGGGTGAAGGCAGGTTCACCTGGACAGGTAACCAGTCTATCACAGGGCTACACTTAGAGACAGACAACCAAGCACACTCACATTCACACCTACGGACAATTTAGAATCACCAATTAACCTCAACATGTTTCTGGACTGTGGGAGGAAGCCGGAGAACCCGGAGAGAACCCACGCTGCACGGGGAGAACATGGAGACTCCACGCAGAAAGATCCCGGGTGTCCTCACCGGGACGCGAACCGGCAACCTTCTAGCTGTGAGGCAACGATGCTAACCACCGATCCACCTGCAGCCCCAAGAACAGAATATGTGTAATTAAAAATAAAGTATATTTAACATTTGTTTTCAGACTATTCTCTGTATTCGTCTGAAAATTTTTAAAAAATCAATACAATTAAAAATAAATAAACCCAACGAGCAAAGAGAGAGTCGGCAGCCACAATACTGACCTCTGTGTGAAGGAGCATATGCGAGATATTCTTTTAACGTATGACTCCTAATAATGACATTAATTAATTACATCATTCCAGTGGTGGAGGAAGTTTTCAGTAGACGCACCAATGCAGCAACGTAAAAGCACATTACAAGCAAAAGTCCTGCATAAAAAATACTACTCAAGCAAAAGTTCAGACGTATTAGCATCAAAATGTAGTTACAGACGGAAGTAAAAGTCCTGGTTTTGTTCCTGTTTCTGATATATTAATGAACAGGACATCATTATAATACTAATACTGAAGCATCAGCGTGTCAGCAGCATGTCGTGGTTGTAGCTGCTGCAGCTGGAGCTAGTCTGAATTATTTTATATCCAGATATCAGCTAAAACAAGCACTGATGCACAAATCTCAGTTTCAGTTTTGTGCTTTTGCTTTAATCTTTGATTGGATCATTTGAACATTTACTGAATGTGAATAATTAAGAGAAAATCCCTGTTTGGAGGCGTTACGTAGAGATCTAAGTGTGAGCCCGACGACACGCTGGAAGGCATTGGTTTTCTAACAGCAAGTGGCAGAAAATACTCAAGGAGACTACTCTGCTATAATGTTAAGTTTCAACTATATAGGTACATTATTTAAAATTATCTTTAAAACATTTGAACATTATATGTTTTCAGTCGGTAACGTTAGCTAATGTGTGACCTTTCCCTGCTAGCTTAGTTTCCAGATCCTGAAGCGCCTTTAGCTGAATAAACAAAGAAATAAAACACAGAAAGCTCCCTCACTGTTTGTTAGCAGCATATAAAAACAATAAGACAACATATCAGAGCCACATTAACAGATATTTGTAGCTTATGAGGTAAAACATGTGACAGGTAGCTTGCTCGCTGCTAGCATACGTTAGCAAATGTGCTACAACCAGCTAGCTAGCTCGTTAGCTTGCAAACCACATTTATGTCCATAAAAAAAGCAAGCTAGAGAAACTGAAGAAGAGCAAAGACTTAAGAATTTATCTTATTGTCTTATTTTTAACAGAACTTTGCAAACACCAGCAGGTTTGTTCATTGCTAGCACCTTTTTGTTAAGTTTTGTCTTAATAGGTTGCTAATGCTAATCCTCATTAGCTCTCAGGACATAACATATAGTTGAGCCAGACAGCTAGCTCAGTATTAGCTTGTTTATTTCTACACTCCCTCCACTCTCACCTTCATCTCTGTGCCTCTCCTCCTCCTCCTCAGTGTGCAAACATCACGGACCGGCTGCTGAAGGAGGTCCTGCAGCAAACATGGCGGACAGTTTGACTGGTGGCTGCCACGCCTGTGAGAAGAATCAGTGAATTAGAGGAGACGCTGCAGGTGAGGAGGATTGATATCATATAACTTGACTCCTTAAAACAAGACAGTGATTGTTTATATTGCATATCAAATTACTTAATTAAAAAATAATAATAATTTCAAGAAAGATTAAGCAAGGTTCAAAATTCTTGATTCATTTTGCAGATTCAGAGGATTTTAGACGTCATGTTTTTATCTATAAATACTGCCAACAAGCAGAAAAACTAAAGAAAACAATCATTTACATTATGACAGGAGGACTAAAATGTTCTGTGAATGAGACTGTGAATGATATGTGGAAAATCTGTTCTGCAGAAACCTTCAGAAGACAGATGAGAATAAAACTTGACAGTTAGCTGTGTACAGAGGATAAGAAAAAAAACTAAATTCCATACGTTTTTATTAGACACTGCTTTTTTAATTAACAAATATCTTAATGAAGCTTCCCTCAGTTGGTCACTTTCATTAGGACAGAAGATTTTGCATTATGTTTTCTTAAATGTATGAATATGCAAATAAGGTTGTTAAATATGAAGAAATTTGCATAAATCTGCAACAGGCAAGAAATCTGCAACAGGCAAGATGTAGTAAAAAAAAAAAAAAAAGAAAGGCTGCAGATTTAAATGTGTATTTTGGATTTTTTTTTCACTTATTTCCCTACTCTGAGAGAAGACATGTTATGGAAGAAAAAGTGACCAGTTCATGGAAAAAAATGTTGCTGGTAATGAGTGGCCCTAATTTAAAAAAAGGAACAGAAACATGTGAAAGATGAACAAAGCAGCCCATGTGGTGGCCTGCCCAGTCCACCAGCCCTGTTCCTTCCACCTATGAGCCTGACCTTACGCTCTGTCAGTGCTTTTATGTGACTTTGGCGTCCCGTGAGTGTAATTCAAGATCAGAACGACCACAGAGGAGTCAGGGCAGCGACTCATCACATCGTTACGTAACACAGTCACAAGATCCGCATTAGAACAGGAGGTGTGTCCTTTCCTGCTTTTTTT